CCCCTTGACATTGTGCCAAGCCTACTGCATGCTACTAATCAATTCAGCAGCTCCTTCTCCCAGGACACTTATTTCACCAGACCTCTAAGACTCCTTCCCCTGCTTAGCAGATAAGCCCACTGCTCCTGTGGGTAAAAACAAAATGAAACAATGATCTCCACATTCACCTTCCAAAGTCCTTTGCTCGGACAGCTTTTATTTCAAACATCCACAATGTTCAAGTCTCTCCTCTTTCAGAAAGGCCCTTGCTGGTCCCTGTAAGCGGTAGGACTGGTTCCCTTGCCCCACTTGATCTCCTTTTATCGACTTCATCACACCTGGGATACTCTGCATCGAGTTATGTTCTCTCCAGTGCCCCTCAATCTAGAGCGCAAGCTCCCCGAAAGCAAGGGTTTTGCCCATTTTGGCTCTAGAGCAATAGCTGGCCACTATTAAGTACTTACACATATTCACTTAATGAATGGGAAAATAGACAAGGTACAAAGATATTCGTCTTTCTTCAAGCAAAAATACTTTTACTCTAAAACTACAGTGCTCAGTTGCCCTTAAAAGATTTCAGTTTGTCCTAATACTCAATCTGATGCTCCCTTGCAGGAGGCAGTGCGGTGCAGGGATAAGCAGAGTCCCGGAAGGGGCCCAGAGCTGGGAGTAGGAGGTAGGTGGGGAGAGCGCTTGGCTTGTTGTATCAGCTCTGTCACTAATTAGTAATGTCATTGGGGGCAAGTCATTTAGCCTCTCACTTCCATCAGGGAGTGTGAGAGTACTTTTATTTTTATCTACAGAAAAGAGATGCCCCAGAGCATGAACCCAGTGAAACTCACTCACCACACACCCCCACAGCCCTTTATCCTTTCAAACAGCACCGACGGGCATACACAGTCTACAAAACACGTTTTCATAACCAGCTGTTAGTAAAAGAGAGAATCCTCGGTCAGAAGACCATAACTCTCAAAATCCAAGATGGTATTCTTAAGGTCCACTCAACAAGACGGGTCGCACACATATGAAAATGTTCTTACTGTAACTCAGTGCACCCAAGAAATGGCCCATCGATCTGGATTGCAGGGAGTCCCTGGGGCACACACAGGGCCCATTCCCGTGTGGGAAAGGCAGAACAGGTGCGTGCCGCTCTCATCTAGTCTTCAGTAAAGAAAGAGCTGGAAGCTTTTCAGTGATTTCAAAAGCAGCAGGTGACTGTTATTATAGCAAGGAGGGGTTTTATTCAAAGTGAGGGGGATATTTACATAATGTTAAAATGCAAGTAGTTGTCTATAAATACACCAAAACGAACCCGCTGTCACCGAGTTGGTTCCAACTCCTAGAGACCTGCCAGGGCACGGCTGTAAATCGCCGCGGGAGCAGGAGAGCCCCATCTTCCCTGTGACTGTAAACAGGACCCTCAGAATCCAGGAATGCCGTAGACACATTTATCTATGTATCCAGAAATCAGCCATCTCTCCACTTTCAAAGCTGCTACCTGTTTTCTTGAATTTAAACATAGATATTTGGTAATGTCTACAAACCAATGAAAGAATACTGATTCACATATATTATGAATTGAATGAATGCCATTTCATTGCGATCCCTGCCCCCACCCCCCTTACAAAGTAGTAAATTTAACAGAATACTATCGGAAAACAGCGACAATAACCCCAACAACAAAAAAGCAAACTGTATTGTCAAGCAAAATATTTTTTAATTAGTAGGCTGATCATAAATAAATCCACATAAGAGATTTAACAGAATTACAAAGAGTTTCGTGTTTCTTTTGTGGACTCAATTCATGATACGTGTTTGTCAACCTCATTCTCTGCGACCGAGAGTTGTCATCCAACAATGCAGCACAGGTTCAGCAATTCATATTCTGTAGTTACATTTTTACACTTTCTTTACAAATGTAACATTTATGTACATTATGTGTCTATATGTACTTTGTTCTATAGGTCATGTACTAAAACTATTATAGTTTTTACAGGGAAAACGCTGAATTCATTGAATGAATAAGAATCATTCCTTGGTAAAAAGTAATTCATAAAAACAAATAACACGGTACCATTGCCTGTTGGCATCTCTTGTCAGAGTTCGGGTCCGGAGATGTGACATTAAGTGTAAGAAAACAAGAAAGAGGAGTTGGTCTAATTACACATCATGACGTATCATTGCACACTGCTACACAGATCTGCCGGCTGGCAAGCACGGCGCACTGTGCTGCTGTGCTCGCGGCAATGGGGAAACATGGCGAGGCCACGCGAACAGGTTCTGGTGCGGCGCCATCGCCACCACTGTTCACTCAGGCTGAAGAAAGCCACGCGAGTCCTCGCTACCTTCCCCAGGGCCTCAGACGGGCACGCACCTGTCTGGACGGCAACCAGTGCCTTCGTTTCAACTCTCCTATGTGCTTCTCTGACAGAGGGTGCTTTAACAAGTTACACGGCTTTTTCTTCTTAACTTTATTCCACGTCACTTACAAATCTGCTTCTGAACATGAATTAAAAATTCATAGTAAGAGAATGCGGCTTCCGTCCGGTCTTCAACTAAATGTTGAAAAAATTCTGCTTTGGCAGGACTCTCATCTCTGAAAAAGAAAAAAGGATACAACTTATTAAGCTAAAAATACATTCTATTAAAAAGTTAAGAATAGAGTAGGGGGGGGAACCAATCACAATGATAGATGCATGGCCCCCATCCCAGCGGGACGGACAGCAGAAGGGTGGGTGAAACAGGACAGCAGTTGGGCTAAAACATGGGGGGGAAAAGGAGAATTTATAGATTGTGAGTGGGGAATGGAGAGGGGGAAGAGGGGGTGGGGGGGAGCTGATGCCAGGGGCGCAAGTAAAAAGAAAATGTTTTCGAAAAAATGTTGACAACATATGTACATATGTGTTAGATGAAATGTATATATGGATTGTAATAAGAGCTGTAAGACAGGGGGAACAGAGCAGCGAAGTCCCCAGGGAGTACCAAGGATAGACTTTGGGGCCAGAGCTTGGGGCCTCAACAGGCTCTATTGGAAAACACCCCTAAAGGCCAACAAACAGTCCTTGAACTAACTACAAGCTTTTCTTTCTTGTTGTATTTTGTTTTGTTATTTTGTCATTGGCTTGTTGTTGTTTTGTTTTATTTTGTTGCTTGGTTTGGCTCTGTCTTGTTTTGTTCATGTTATTGTCTCCGCAGGTCTGTCTAAATGAGATAGGCTGATGAACAGTCTGAGGAGAAAACAACGGGACCGACAGTTCCAGGGGGACATGGGAGAGGGGAAGGTGGGGGGGAAAGGTAGTGGTGGTGACAAACCCAGGGACAAGGGAACAACAAGTGATCCAAATCGATGGTGAGGAGGGTGTAGGAGGCCTGGTAGGGCGTGACCGGGGTAATGTAACTGAGAGGAATTGCTGTAACCCAAATGAAGGCTGAGCATGATAGTGGGACAAGAGAAAAGTAAAAGGAAATAGATGAAAGAGCTAGGAGGCAAAGGGCATTTATAGAGGTCTAAATAATGGCATGTACATATGTAAATATATTTATATATGAGGATGTGGAGTGGATCTATGTGCATATATTTACAGGTTTGGTATTTTGGTGGCAGACAGACATTGGGCCTCCCCTCAAGTACTCCCTCAATGCAAGAACACTTTGTTCTATTAAACTGGCATTCCATGATGCTCACCTTCCCAACACAACTGCAGAAGACAAAGTGGGTGCATAAGCAAATGTGGTGAAGCAAGCTGATGGTACCCAGCTATCAAAAGATAGAGTGTCTGGGGTCTTAAAGGTTTGAAGATAAACAAGCAACAAAGCCCACATGGAATAAGCACACCAGCATGCGTGCTCATGAGGTGTCGAAGGGATCAGGTATCAGGCATCATCAGAACAAAAAACTCATATCATTGTGAATGAGGGGGAGTGCAGGGCGGAGACCCAAGGCTCATCTGTAGGCAACTGGACACCCCTTTACGGAAGAGTCGCAGGGAGGGGAGATGAGCCAGTCAGGGTGCAGTGTAGCAACGATGAAACATACAACTTTCCTCTAGTTCCTAAATGCTTTTCCCCCACCCACTATCATGATCCCAATTCTACCTTACAAATCTGGCTAGACCAGAGGATGTACACTGGTACAGACAGGAAGTGGAAACAGGGAATCCAGGGTGGATGATCCCTTCAGAACCAGTGGTGAGAGTGGCGATACCGGGAGGGTGAAGTGGAAAGGGGAACTGATTACAAGGATCTACATATAACCTCCTTCCTGGGGGATGGACAATAGAAAAGTGAGTGAAGGGAGACGATGGACAGTGTAAGATATGACAAAATAACAATTTATAAATTATCAAGGGTTCATGAGGGAGAGGGGAGGAGGGAGGAAGAGGAGAAAATGAGGAGCTGATGATGGGGGCTTAGGAGGAGAGCAAATGTTTTGAGAATGATGAAGGCAAATGAATATACAGAAGTGCTTTACACAGTTGATGTATGTATGGATTGTGATAAGAGTTGTATGAGCCCCTTAAAAATGATCAAAATAAAAGAGCTGTAAGCGCCTCCAATAAAATAAAATTAAAAAGAAAAGGGAAAAAAAAGTTAAGAATAATTCTACTGCATCAAGAAAGTACTAATATGAAGGCACTTTGGGAAAAGGGAATATGCGGGCTATTAATTAAATAACATCTTATCACTAGCATGTATTTGGATAAAAAAATTAAAGTTGATTTATAGTAATTTCCACAAAGACTAAACAAGAAAAGACAATTTCCTAATAAAACTCCGAAGTACTTACTTTACCACGTGAAGAATTGGGCTTAGTGGTCTACTGTCTCGAAGCCAAGTTATAAAGGATCGAGTTCTTTCTGATGAAAGTGTATCCAGCTCTGGAAGATGTGTCTGGTAAGAGAAACAGAATTAGAAGTTATTTCTGTGCTTAAAGGCTTTTAGTAGGACTAGAAATAAATTACAATCCTTACTATTATCAGAAACTTCCAGACAGGGAATGGTTGCTAAGTGGGTTGAAGTGTGTAACGCACCCCCACCCCCACCCCCGTTCCCATGCTTGTGGCCGCACAGTCACTCACAAGAAGAACACCCCTGTTTCCTAAGCCGGGCCTTCCTCTCAGCTCACCCCTGAGACCTGGTCAGGACCAGTGCAGGTGATTGCAGACTGTCTATATCCTCAGGATTTAATGCAACACACAATGATAAGTAGGCCACTGGTTTTATATTGTTACTTTTAAAGAGAATATTCAAATGAAGGGGTTTCCTTCTAAATTCCTAATCCATCTAATCCTATTCCAATTAAAAAAAACACACCTATTATACCCAATCTTACAATAACCATTATAAGAGAATTTCACATTGCCCTTAGTTCTTAAAATTTAAGGACAAGGAATTTTAATGACCACTTTAGATAGGTAAACATATTCTCACACCATTTGAGCATTTCCTCGCAACATTTAATTCTAAACTGGTCCCCATCACTGCGTCTCTAACACATTTGATCCTGATTGCTATGACCACTGGGATAGCTTGACTGTCCGTGCGTCAAGTTTTCACAATCAGGTGTGTATTTTCACTGTCAAGACGATTCTGTCCCAGCACAACAAGAATTTTGTTTTACAGGCTACAACTAA